TGATCTGTCTTTTTGATCTAGGCATTTAAGGCTATGGATTTTCCCCTTAGGACTGCTTTTACTGTATCTACAGATTTTGTAAACTTATGTCTCCCTTGTCATTTAGTTCGAGGAATCTTTTGATTTCCATCTTAATTTCCTCATTGACCCAATGATCGTTCAGCAGCAAGTTGTTTAATTTCCATGATTTTGTGTGGTTTTGAGTGTTTCCCTTGGAAATGATTTGTAGTTTTATACCACTGTCATCTGAGGAAGGAGGTACATGGTATGATTTTGATCTTTTTGAATTTTCTGACATTTGTTTTATGGCTTAAGATATTATCAGTCTGGGAAAATTTCCTGTGTACTGATGAAAAGGATGTATATCCAATAGTTTTGGGGTAGAATGTTCTGTAAATGTCTGTTAGGTCCATTTGTTTTAAAGTCCCATTTAAGTCCATTGTTTGTTGATTTTATGCTTCAGTAGTTTTTCCAGTTTTGTCAATGGGGTGTTGAAGTCCCTGGCAATTACCATGCTACTGTTTATTCCTTTACTTATTTCTAGTAGAATTTATAAATTTCATAAATGAATCTGGGAGCTCCTGGGTTAGGTACATATATATTTAGGATAGTTATATATTCTTATCGAATTGCTCCCTTTACCATTATATAATGATCATCTTTTCTTTTTTTTAACCATTGTTGATTTAAAGTCTATTTTATCTGATATGAAAGTGGCTACACCTGCTCACTTTTGATTTCCATTCACATGGAATATTTTTTTCTATCACTTCACCTTGTGTCTGTGCAAGTCCTTGTGAGTTAGATGCATTTCTTGGAAACAGCATATTCTTGGGGTGTGTTTTTTCATCCATTTAGCCAGTCTGTATCTTTTAAGTGAGGCATTCAGACTGTTCATGTTTAGTATTAGTATTGATTTGTGGGATACTGTTCTGTTTGTCATGTTGGATAATACCTTGTTTTGTTTTCCCTCTTGTGCTGTTCTTTTGTTAGAGCTGCGAGCTTTAAATTTTGGGTGTTTTTATACTGGTAGGTATCTGTTGTATTGTTCCTTGTATAATGAAGTTTTGATTATTTCCTGTAGGGCAGGTCTAGAAGTGACAAATTCCCTTAGTGTTTGCTTCTCTGGAAAAGTATTTATTTCTCCATCACTTACAAAACTTAGCTTTGCATAATACAAAGTTTTTGGCTGGCGGTTCTGTTTAAAGAGACAAAAAATGGGGCCCTAATCCCTTCTGGCTTATAAGTTCTCTGCTGAGAAGTGTGCTGTTAGCCTGATGGGTTTTCCTTTGTGGGCAGTTGTTGCTTTCATCTTGTAGCTTATAAAATTTTCCCCTTTATTTATACTTTGGCTAGGTTGATGACTATGTGTCTTGGAGATGTCCTGTTTTCCAGGTGTTCGATGACTGTCTAGTATCTGGGTATCTGTATCTCTGGCATTATTAGGGAAGTTTTCTTCAATAATTCCCTCAAATAGGCTTTCCATGCTTTTTGCTTTTTCTTCTCCCTCTGGGATGCAGTAATTCTTATGTTGGCCTGCTTTGCATAGTCCTGTACTTCTCTGAGTGATTGTTCATTCTTCTTAATTTTTTCTGCATCTTTGACTGACTAGGCTAGTTCAAAAGCCTTGTCTTCAAGCTCTGAAATTCTTCTGCTTGACTGTTATTGACACTTTCTACTGTATTTTGAAATTCCCTAAATGACTTCATTTCTTTAAGCTCTGTTATATCTTTTATTATGCCTTAGATCTCTTTAGCAAGTCTTTCATTTTTTTCATTCACGTTCTGAATCATTTTTTTGACTTGTTTTTGTTGGTTTTTAACTTTCTCTTTAATCCCATTTATTTTATTTGCCATCCATATTCTGAATTCCATCTCTTGACATTTCCACAATTTCATGTAGGTTGGAGTCCATTGCTGGAAACCTATTGTGATCCTCTGGGAATGTTGAAACAGCTTGTTTTTTTAATGTTCCCAGAGTTCTTATTCTAGTTCCTTTTCTTCTGGAATCTATTCTGTCAACTCAAGACAGAAGTGCACCTGTCCTGCTCTGCTGGGAGCACTCCTAGTTAGTAAAAGTTGGAGAGTCCTCGGATGACACACTTGTGCCCTACCCTGGAGGATTGACCCAGTCCGAGATGAGCAGATGTACTGTAAGCATTTAACACTGTTGCTTTCCTGCATTTCTTGCCTCACCATTCCCTTGTGGTTGTCACTGGTGGTACTGCACTGAAGAGTGAGTGAATGCTCCAACTAGTTCTGTCAGCAGCAGTGATTGTCAGCCCAAGCAACTTGAGAGCTCCTCCACTCAGATCTGCAGGCAGCAATGTTTGTCAGCCTGCACCAGCTTAAGCACAGCCCAACCATGCCTGTAGGTGGCAATGATTGTCCACCTGTGCTGGCTTGGGAGCTGCCCACTCTGATCCATGGATGTCACCATTTCTTGCCCCATGTGGCTTGAGTGTAGGCCTGCTTATGTCCTCTGGCAGCAGCCATTGACAGCCTGAGCTGGCTTGAGGGCTGCATATTCAGATCCAATGTTTGCCCTGTGTGCTGGCTCCAGGGCAACTCCACTGACACCCAGAGGCGTTGGTGTTTGTCAGCTCTTGCTAGCTTGAGAGCTGTCCAAGTTAGGCCTGTGGTCACCAGTGTTTTTTGGCCTACATAGTCCCATGCATACCTATGGGCAGCAGTGGTTATCAGCCTGCTTAGCTTGAGAGCCTCCCTGTTCCAGTCCCCTGGCTACAGCATTTGTCAGACAGGCAGTACTTGAGCCCAGCCCTGTTCACATTGACGGGCTACAGAGATTATCAGTCTACCCAGGTCCCCCACTTGCACTAGGGGTGCACAGCACCTGCTCCTGGGACTCCCAAGAGTGCCCAGCCTCCCTGCTCCCACCCAGACTTACATGGGTAATGGAGAGGCAGCAGCTATAGGTCTCAACCCTGGGTAGGGGCAGTGTTTTGAAGATCTTAGCTTTGGAAGTATATTTTGAAATCAGATAGTGTGATGTCTCACACTTTGTTCTGATTGGTTTGGCTATTTGGGGTCTTTGGTAGTTCCATATAAATTTTATTAATAGTATTTTTTCTATTTCTGTGAAAAATGCCATTGGAATTTTTATAGGGACCAAATTGAATCTGTAGATCACTTTGGGTAGTATGGACATTTTAGCAGTATTCTTCCAACCCATGAACATGAGATTTGTTTTCATTTATTTGTGTCTTTAGTTTCTTTAATCAGTCCTTTAAACTTTTCTTTGTACAGATCTTCCATATCCTTGGTTAAATTTATTCCTAAGGGTTTTTTGTTTTGCTTATGCTATTGTAAATCATATTGATTTCGTTCTTATTATATAGAAATGTCATTGATTTTTGTATATTAGTTTTGTATCCTGCATCTTTACTAAATTCGTTTATTAGTCCTAATGGTTTATTGGTGCCATTTTTAGAGTTTTCTATATATATAAGATCATGTTATCTGCAGACAGAGACAGCTTAACTTCTCCATTTCTCATTTGGATGCTTTTTATTTCTTTTTTGTTTAATTGCTCTAATTGTTCTTCAAGTACTATATTGAATAAAAGTAACAAGAGTGGGTATCTTTGTCTTGTTCCTGATATTAGAAGGAAAGCTTTCAACTTTTCACCATTGTGTATGATACTAGCTGTGAGCTTGTCACATGTGGCCTTTATTATGTTGGGGTTCATTACTTCTATTCCTAGTTTGTTGCGAGTTTTTGTTATGAAAAGATAAATTTTGTCAAATGATTTTCTGCATCTGTTAAGATGCTCATATGGTTTTTATCCTTCATTCTGTTATCATGGTGTATCACATTTACTGATTGTGCATATGGAATCCTTGCATCCCAGGGATAAATCCCACTTGATCATGCTAAATGATCCTTTTAATGCTCTGCTGAATTCAGTTTGCTATCACTAGCATTTTGTTGAGGATTTCTGCATGTTTGTTCATAAGAGATACTGGCAAGTAATTTTCTTATGGTGTCTTTGTCTTACTCTAGTATCAGTGTAATACTGGCCTCAGAAAATAAGTTTGTTGAAGATGTTCTCTCTTTAATTTTTTTGGAAGAGTTTTAAAAGGATTAGTGTTAATTCTTACTTAAATATTTGGTAGAATTAGACTGTGAAGTGATCCAATCCTGGGATTTTCTTAAGTCTTCTTTCTTTTTTTTTCTTGTTTTTTTTTTTTTAGTTTAGCTTAAGTTTTGTCAATCTTGCTTATCCTCTTAAAATATCACCTCATAATTTCATTGATCTTTTGTAATTTTTGTAGTCTCTGCTTCATCTATTTCTGATCTTATTTTTATTATTTCCTTTCTTCTGCTAACTATGGACTTAGTTATTTTTTTAGTTCCTTTAGATATAATATGAGGTTGTTTATTTAAGATCTTTCTTTCTTGATGGAGGCATGCATTGCTATAAACCTCCCTATTAAGAACTGCTTTTGCTGCATCCCATAAGTTTTGGTATGTTTTGTTTCCATTTTAATTTGCTTCAAGATATTTTTTAATTTTCTATTTGATTTCTTCCTTGACCCATTGACTGTTCAGGAGTGTGTCGTTTAATTTTCATATATTTGCCAATTTTCTAATTTTTTTCCTGTTCAAAAATCTTTATGGTAATCAATTTCCTTTTTTATAGTATTTTATCTGCCATACTTAAATAATTTTATAACTTTTCTATGATTTTTCCCCCAGGAACCCAAATCTACAGTAGAACTTTGGAGTTAGACAGAAAACCTGATTTTCAATCCTATTTTGACTATTTATTAACCATGTCATTAGACAGTTTTTAAACTGTTTAAAGTTTCACTTTGTACATTTTTTTTTTCTTCACTGGAAACACGCATAATTTAGAAAACTATTTTTCTCATGAGAAAGGATATGTTTTAGATCCTATAGCTAAATTTGTTAAAACTATGGTGATTGTTTAATAATAATGCCATATAGGTTTATATATTCATATGTTTTCTTTTGTAGGTTTCTTCAGTTATTGGCGTGGCAATTTGGCAAATGTTATTCGGTATTTTCCAACACAAGCTCTAAACTTTGCTTTTAAGGACAAATATAAACAACTATTCATGTCTGGAGTTAATAAAGAAAAACAGGTAATTATATTTCAATATCTCTAAAATTTTCTTAAAATATGGTTAGATTTGTCTTACCTGTGATGCTTTATTTGGGAAGGAGGTGCTCAAAAGAAAACATAATTTAAACAGAACATGTTAACTGTTAACATTATAGTATATATTAAGTTATAGAATTATATATGAAGAACAGAATTATATTACCTTCTATATCTTTTACTAAACCTCTTTTTGGTGGTTGTTGTTAGAAACAGGGTCTTGCTTTGTCACCCAGACTGGAGTGCAGTGGTTCAGTGATAGCTCACTGTGTAACCTCAAATTCCTGGGCTCAAGTGATCCTCCTGCCTTAGCCTCCCAAGCAGCTGGGATTACAGGCACATGTCATTGCACCCAGCCTTAACATAACTTTAATACCTAAGGGATCTTTTTTTGTCTTAAGGCAGTATTTCTCTGAATAAATATTAAATTTAATGTAATTTATATCTTATAGTCACTGTCCTGCAGTTGGGAAATTCAGCATTACATCTGTTTTATTTTTTTTCTTCCCCAAATTTTCAAATGTATTTATTTATTGTTTAATTAATTTATTTTTATTTCAGGAAATTATGAGGGTACAAACATTTTGGTTACATGTTATGACTTTGCTAATCCCAATCATGATTTGAGATGTGCCGTTACCCCCGCTACAATGCTCACCACGTCCATTAGTTGTGAGTTTACATACCCCAAACTCCCCTACCGCCAAAGAATATTGCTACTGTGTAAGCACCTTAGGGTTGATCAGTCAGTACCAGTTTGATGGTGAGTACATGTAGTGCCTGTTCTTCCATTCTTATGATACCTCACTTCAGAGGATAGGTTCAAATTCTATCCAGGAGAATATAGAGGTGCTAGAACACCATCATTTCTTATAATTGAGTAGTATTCCATTGTATATATACCATATTTTATTAATCCACTCATGGGTTGATGGGCACTTGGGTTGTTTCCACATCTTAGCAATTGTGAATTGTACTGCCATAAACATTTGAGTGCAGATGTCTTTATTATAGAATGACTTTTGTTCCTTTGGGTAGATGCCTAATAGTGGTATTGCTGGATCAAATGGTAGTTTTACTTGTAGGTCTTTGAGGTATAGGAGCACTCTTACACTGCTGGTGAGACTGCAAATTAGTGCAACTTCTGTGGGAAAGAATTTACATCTGCTTTTTTTAGACAAAAAGTAGTCAACAAATAATATATTTCCCACCACTGAGATAATTTATTTCCTAAAGAAGTAAATTATTTCTTCTTTACGACTAAGGTCTATTTAAATGAAATTGAAGCATATGGGAAGACCAAAGCAAACAAAACAAGAAAATGATCAATTTAAGTTAGAGAATTCTCCTTTTTAAAAAGATATTTTTTGTTTTTCAAAGTAATCAGTTACTCCCTTGGTTACAAAATCTCAATTTCAAAATTTCCTCCTTATATGAATTATATATCATTTGTCCTGATTTCTGTTTGTTTTGTTGCATCCAATACATTGTACCACCTACATTACTCCCAAGGTCTTCTTTTCCTCCTTATAAAATTTCTCTTCTCCTTCACCTTTTCTCTTTTTCCCTCCTTCCTACTCCTCATCTCTTACCCCTGTCCTAGTCAACCAATCAAGGTGTCTTAACAAGTTTTTTAAATGCAAATATGTGTGGAAAATTTCTTTGTTGCTATCATAGGCCTTTAATTGTTTTAACATTTCTTATTCCCTTCTTTTAACAATTTTATTTTGTTAACAAATGTTTATTGAATGCCTTTTCCTGTCTTTTCTGTTGTGGGGATATAAAGTTAACTAAGATAATTCTCTGGACTTAGAATCAGATAATTTGGATTTGGATTTGGGTCTGGATTTTGGCCTTCTGTTTATTTAGCTACGTGAGTTTTTGAAAGTCATTTTACTTCTCTGATCCTTGGTTTCCTCGTGTAAAAATGGGACATAATAATACCTAAATCATAGTTTTATTGTGAGGTTTAGATGAGATTACATGTACAGTGCTTAGCAGAGAGCCTTGCTTTATGTTAGGGAGTCAGGAAAACATACCTCTCTTTTTTAGCTAAAAACTCTAAAAATTGAAACTTTCTATGACTCAGAATCTTCCTTCCACTGTGTTGGGGATCCTAGAGACTACCCTCAGGTTCAGTGATTCACAAGAAGGATTCAGAGAATTCAGAAAAGCTATTATACTATAATGTATTGCACAAAAAGATTCAAATTAAAATCAGAAAAGGGAAAAGGTGCACAGGGCAGAGTACAGGAGAAACTAGGTGTAAGCTTCCAGTTGTCCTCTCCTAATGGAGTTACATGGACAGAGCGCTTACTTCTCCCAGCAACGTGTGACCATACATATGATGTGTTTGCCAATAAGCAGAGTTTATCCAAGCCTTAGTGTCCAGGGTTTTTATTAAGGGTCAGTGGCATAGGCATGGAATGTGACTGACCTTGGCTACCCAGTTTACAGCCCCCTCTGGAGCTCAGATGATACAGCTTAGCCCAGAGTCCCACGCATACACAAACAAATGTTTATCATAAATCAAAATGTTAGTATGAACTATCTCAGCTGACTCACACACCTTGTTCTTATTGTAAATATTGAAACAGCCCTATGAATTGGCTCCACCTCTTCTCAGTGACGGTCTGAGAGCAAGCCCACCTACCTTGGAACCTTCCAGGAGATAACATACCTGTCTGGCTGTTAAGCTGATATCACTTAAATTAAAATATTATAACTCTAAGGTACTCTATGTGAGTTGCATGGTAACCACAAAGAAAAACAACCTCTAGTACATACATAGAACAGAAATGAATCAAAGCCTACCACTGCAGAAATACAACAGATCACATAGGAAAATAGCAAGCTTGGAAGAAACAAAGAAATGAATTATAGAACAGTTAGTAAACAATTATCAAAATGATAACGGTAAGTCCTTACCTATCAATAATTACTTCAAATGTAAATGAATTAAATTCTTCAATCAAAAGACTCCGAATGACTGAATGGATTTGTAAAAAGACCCAACAATATGCTGCCCACGAGAGGCTCACTTTGCTCTTAGGGACATATTACATAGAATGAAAGTCAAAGGATGGAAAAAGATATTCCAGGCAAATGGAAACAAAAAAAAAATAACAGTGTAACTATAGTTATATCAGACAAAATAGACTTTAAGTCAGAAACTGTAAAAACAGGCAAAAAATGTCATCACATGATAATAAAGGAGTCAGTTCGTCAAGAAGACATAGCAAATTATATTTGTACCCCACATTTTACACCTAAATATATAAAGCAAATAGTAATAGATCTGAAGGCAGAGAGAGAGACTGCAGTGCAGTAATAGTAGGGGACTTCATTACCCCACTTTAGACAATGGGCACATCACCCAGATAGAAAATCGTTAAGGAAACACTGGACTTGTACTACACTTTAGACTAAGTAGATCTAAGAGAAATTTGTAGAACATTCTATCCAGCAGCAGCAGAATACACGTTCTTTGCAAGCACACTTACAAGTCTTAACAAATTTAAGGAGATTAAAATCATACATCTAATGTATCTTTTATGACCATAATGAAATGAAACTAGAAATCAATAACAGAAAGAATTTGAAGAAAACCAAAAATATGTGGAAATTAAACAATACATTCCTGAACAACCAATGGGTCAAAGAATAAATCAAAAGGAAAAAATTTAAATGTCTTGAGAGAAATTAAAATGGAAATACAACATACCAAAACTTACAGGATGCAGCAAAAGCAGTTTCAGGGGTAAGTTTATGGCAACAGAAGGAAGATCTCAAATAACCTAATGTAACACCTTACAAAACTAGAAAAAGAAGAATAAGCCCCAAATCAGCTGAAAGAAGCAAAAAATAAACATCAAAACAGAAATAGAGGGTAGAGAGAAAATGGAAAAGATCAATAAAACTAGGAGATGATTCTTTGAACAGAAAAACAAAATAAACAACCCTTAGCCAGACTAAGAAAAAGAGAAGACTCATATAAATCATAAAGAGGGTACAGTACAGCTGATAAACCCAGAAATGCAAAGGATTATAAGAGAGTACTATGAAAAATTATATGCCAAGAAATTGGATAACCTGGAAGAAATGGGTAAATTCCAGAAACATAACCTTCCAAGACTGAATCATGAAGTAATAGAAAATCTTAACAGACCAACAATGAATAAGGAGATTGAATCAGTAATCAAAAACTTGTCCAAAAAGAAAAACTCAGGATCAGATGGCTTCATGCAAAATATTTAAGAAGAAATGATACCAGTGATCTTCAGAGTCTTCCAGAAAATTAAAAAGGAGAAAACACCTTCAGACTCATTTTATAAGATGAGCATTATTCTGATACCAGAGCCAGAGAATGAGACTACCAGGGAAGAAAATTACAGGCCAATGTCTCTGATATACATACATGCCAAAATCCTTCTGCAAATAGTAGCAGACTAAATCCAACAGCACATTAACAGTATCATTCACATGATCCTAGTGGAATTCATTCCTGAGATGCAAGGATGATTCAGTATATACAAATCAATAAATGTAATACACCACATTAAAAGAATGAAGGACAAAACAGTGTGAGCATCTCAACAGATGTCAGAAAAAGCATTTGACAAAATTCAACATTCCTTCATGATAAAAATTCTCAACAAAGTAGACATAGAAGGAATGTACCTCAACATGAAAAAGACCACCTATGACAAGCCCACAGCTAACATTATATACAACAGTGAAAAGTCGAAAGCCTTTCCTCTTAAGTCAGGAACCAGACACTCACTACTTCATTCAACATGCTACTTGAAGGTCTAGCCAGAGTTATAGGCAAGAAAAAGAAATAAAAGGCATCCAAACAGGAAATGAAGAAGTAAGGTTGTCTGTTTGCAGACAACATGATTTTATATATGGAAAACCCTAAGGACTCCAGCAAAATAAGGTTCAAACTGACAAATGAATTCAGTTAAAGTTGAAGAGTACAAA